TTCTCTTTAAATATGCCCTAATAATTACTAATTCAAACTAATTCAAACTAATAAAAAAAACTACATAATTATATTGTTACTCTAACAAACTCTAATGATGTAATTATGTTATTACTGTCACTCTGTATTTGATTTGAGACAAAATGCTGCTCTGATACTTACATATTAGGCAGCTAATAAATAAGATAGCTATGTGATGTTATCACATGAAACCAGGAATGACATTTAGTGTTAGTAAATATATAGGTTGTGCACTATTGAACATGTAATGTATGATGATGAAGGACAAATAAATTTTTAGGATCTTGTTAATTTTAACTTAAATACAAATGTTAGTCTTTATAGCAATGAGTTTGAAAAGAATTTGTTTTTCTTGAATATGTACAAGTTTACACAACTACAGAAGCCTATAACCTATTTAGCAAAGGTCCATGCACACTAAAGTAGCTATGAAGCTTATAACAAGGTCTTTGCATTGTGAAGCCTAGCTAACAAGATTCTTATACTGTTACTGTTGTCTAATTGCTACAAATACTAGGTGTTATATTACTATCACAACTGTGAGACTTAATTACCAAGATTATTGCATTACTTGGAGTAAATTACTACAAAAACAAAATTTTTGTATTACTACAACAACTGTGGAACTTCATTGTTACAAAATCAGGTCCTTATACTGCTACTGTCAAGTATTTAAACTTATTGCAGATTACTGCACTATGAATGGATGATAGAGTAGCCTTCCTGTAAGGAAAGTGATACAAAGAGTAAGATAAGTTTTTTTTTATTAAAAAATATTACCTTTAAATACACTGCATTATGTTTTATTCCTCTGTTCCACTGATTTGATTCATGCTTGAAAACAAATGAAAATACTCCTTTATTTTAGCACTAATTTATTAACTTTCATATCTATTCATTATTTAGCAATAATAAATTTAACCAAGAAAAACCTGATCTAATAAAAACAACACAGCAAACCATTAGAGTTCATAAAAGGCCAATCTAAGTATATAATCCACAAAGTCATCTGATTTCACAATTTGATAACAAGCTACTTATTATAAAAAAAATTAGTTTTTTTTATTAAGAACATCTCATCAATGATAATAATACAGTTATAACCATTTAGTCACAGTTATAACCATTTAGTTATGGTTATAACTATTTAGTCATAATTATTAACCATAATATAATAACTGATACTAGTAATGACGATCAACATTTTAAATGTAATTTTCACACTCTTATTTTTTTCCATATCAGCATGATGACATGTGAATATGCTGTGTCAGTACGTATTATCTTAACTCTTATTATATTTGAATAAATGACAACCATTACTTATACTAAAAACGGATTTTTCAAAAATCTGCATAACAAAAATTTCTAATAAGGTATATACATTTGGCATAAATATTCATACAATCGTATAGTGTTACCTGTCAATACATAATATTAACTCCTACCCTAAATAAAAAAAACTAGTGTGCACATAATTATAATATTTCCAAACTGAAAAAATTTTCAAACCAGAAAAAATATAGACTTCAAAAAAATTGAACAGAACCATCCCTCTCACATTTCATGTGATCGTACTGGTATAAAGGAACTGTCTAAGTATTCATTGATAATATGATAATTTGTTATTAAATTATCAGTTGCTTTTAATCAAATTTTATTGACCATGAATATTTTAATACATTCATAGCACGTACTGAATCTGTGACAGGTTATATTGATCACTGAGCACAAAGATCAGAATCTAATGCAGGCTATAATTCGCTTGATATTCAAAATTTAAATGTACTCACGGTGCTAACATTTCGTGCTGAAAACTTTATTCAGGAGTAAAAACTAGCTATCATTTTTTGGTTACACATGATCTTGTGATTTTAAATGTTTGCTTTAACGACTCCTATATTAGGAAAAGCGGCTTATATATAAACATGCTATTTGCAAATAAACATAAGTTATATCTTTTTCTTTCCTAATTCGCTTATTAGTTACCTGAGTAATATTAATTTTCTAAAAAGGTGAAAAGGGCTTAAAATCAATTTTAGGAACGGAGTGAAACGAAATGTATATACGGAGAGTGAAATGTTGTGTACAAATACGGGATTCTGATTGGGTATGGTTCTAAATGGTAATGGTATATCTTGTTTATCTGGCACGTGTGATATATGCAGGCTTGCGGTGATTTATTTGGTTAACCATTTTATAAAAATTGCGTCAAACAGATCAAACACGTTTATTGCATAACTTTAACTAAGCCGCATTTGTATTACTTATGCGTAATAAGCTTAATATCTTGCGTCATAATTAATAAAGAAACCGTTGGACGATTTTTTAAGTAATCATTGATAATACAATAATTTGTTATGAAATTATTGGTTGCTTTTAATCAAATCTTATTGGCTATGAATATTTGTTTGTTTGTGTACAGTTTCTGCAATAATATAATCATTCCACTTCCTCCAACTTGACAATACTTCTACAGGTTGATCTCTTGTTATTTAGAGAGGTCTATCAAAATATGTTCGAGTTAACATTACTTTTTTTGATGCGGTTGGTTACTATTATATCGTTAATACAGTTATAACACGCACTGAATCTGTGACATAATGCTTACGCATCACAATAATGATTCGTCAGCAATTGAGAAATCTGTGCCAGGTTTTATCGATCACAGTCGACAAAATTAAGTTTCTATCTTAAAATGTCGTTTATGAAACTACTTTTCGTGTTCTATCAAGAAAATTCCTCTCATAATTTTGACATATACTTTTAATTTTAAATTCTTTTCTAACCAATCTAACTCTAATTTAATATTAACTTTAAAATTAACTTAATACAAGATGATGTCGATCAATCTAGCCAGATGATTGACAAAGTCTTGCACAGATTTCGTTTGCGATTCGTCTCATCTTCATACCAAATGAAAAGGAGACCTAATCCTTTACAAGTAAACCCTTTTTGATGTTTACAGTTAGGGTAAGTGCGAGAATAGTTTTTTTCGTGTGCAGTTATAGAAAATTAGCTTTGTTTCGACAGAAATTTTTCTTTTAAAAACTATACATACAGTACTATCATGATTTCCACATGACTGTCCTAATTTGCGTTTTCATACAGTGCCAAATTACTATATACCAGTAATAATCATTTGTCATTTTATCATATTTGAGATACTAAACTAACTAAGCTAAATATAAATAAGCAGATAAAAATATAAAGATATTACGAAAAAAATAAAGAAATAACTTAATTATAATCCATCACATGCATGTTTTGACAAGTTAGGCAAGATCAATTGAATTTATTGGTTTACATTCCTTTCTTAAAGAGGAAATGATTGCTTATATGAGAAATTTTATCAAATTTTTTTTTAACCAAAAAAGATCCACCTCAGAGTAATTTAAACCACTAAATCAAATTGGTTTAACCTTACCCAATAATATTGAAATTTTAAATTTAACAAATTGGATTCTTTATTTGACAAATATTAATAAATTAACTGTGAATTGCAATGTAACCTTCCGTTCCTGGTTTTGCGAGACAGCGTCGCGCAGCTACCTTATTTGAGATAATCGTGCTTATAATGATTATCATTATAATCAATATGAATATTGGCACTCTAAAAATAGATAGAAGTTCGCTTATAAATAACATGTAATTTCGTTCAAATAATAAAGCGGATTTCATACAAAAAACACTCACCCGAAGTAAATAATAATGCCATCCCATTTAGTACAGTATTCCCGAAGTAGTGTGGATTACTGCAAGTCTTGTTAAATTGGATTAATAGTCTCGACGTAGTGTAGACTATTCTTGGATAACTCGATCCGAATCGAAGTCGCTCGCCAAATCTACACGCCTTTTTCGACCGAAAGCCGTCCGACCGTTACACGAAGTCGTCCTTCGATTAGCGACAGACTCGCCGATTTAAAGCATCTCACTGTATGAGCGTCGCTAAAAGAAAATTTGAAAATTTAAATATAAGTCATATTTAAATTGTCAGGTTTTCTTTTAGCAACATTCATATGTTCTATCCGTCGAATTACTGGGAGCCCTTGTAAAAACCTAGAGTAAGTTGAGAAATTAGTAAAGGTTATAATAAGGAAATAAAGACAAGCATTAAAATATTAAGCGATACTTATCTTGCTAGCCAAATGTTTTAAGAAGTAATTGATTATCTGCATCGATTAATGTTTAGCGAGATTTGATTGTGGGCCTATAGATAGAAATTTTTAATATGTTATAAATTTTAACTCGTGACAAGTCTATCCGTCGAGTTATTGCGAGCCCTTGTAAAAGCCTAGAATAAGTTGAGAAATTAGTAAAGGCTGTAATAAAGGAATAAAAACAAGTATTTATAATATAAAGCGATACTTATCTTGCTAACTAAATTACATGTCTCAGGAAGTAATTGACAATCTATATCATTTAACGTTTAACGAGATTCGATTGTGGGCCTATAGATAGAAATTTTAATGTGCTGTTGTAAATTTTAACTCGTGACAAGCCTAAATACAGTATACTATCGTGTGTAAATAGTCTTATGATCTAAATAATAAATATAGAAATATAAAGAACGGCACGCGTGCACATGTTCTTTGACTTACCTGCAGGCTCTCGGCCATCTTAGAAGATGATTAAAATGGTTCAAAAAAAAAAAAAAAAATACATATATAAATTGTAAATTCTATACTCTCTACAAGTTCTATCCGTCGAATTATTAGGATCACTTATAAAATAAGCTGAAAATTTTTAATAAGGAAATAAAAACAAGTATTGAAAATGTAAAAGAGATACTTATCTTGCTCATCAAATACGTTTCAGGAAGTAATTGATTATCTACATTAATTAACGTTTAGTGAGATTCGATTGTGGGCCTATAGAAAGAAATTTTGGTTTCCTGACATTTCCCTGACATCTATTTTCTGAAAAATATTTCCTCGACGACACTTTCCCGTCATAAATTTTTTCACCGACATAACTTTCTAGACAATAATTTCCCAACAACATTTTTTTGGTAACCACTTTTCCGAAATAAACCGCTTCCCCGACAATATATTTCCGACAACCATAATCGCAACATAGACTCCTTCCTCAACAATATCACTACCTACTTCCCCGACGTTATTACATCCGCAACATTTCCACTTTTCCGACATTATCAACTTCCTCGACATTTCCACTTCCCATTTTAAAAATAGTGACGCTATGGCTTCGCAGAAGTTTCTACATTATAATAATTTTATAAAGTTGTATGGAAAGTATTGAATCTGACTGATAAAAAGCATTCTGCAAACAAACCCTGAATATGACTCCAAAATCGGGTTTTAAATTCGTCTAAAAGTTTTTCCAAACTCTCATGCATTTCAATGAATTCAAGTTCTTCAATATATGAAAATAATCGTAGATTGTGCAGAGTATCTTAATTATGTTTAAATCATTTCTAAAATGTCCAAAGAAGTTTTCTATAATTATACTATGGTTCATATCAGATAATAATAGCTTAATTCCATACATTGATCAAATCTTTCGTGAGTATAAACTGTATTGTATCTTACGAAAAGAATTTCTTAAATCCAAGCTTTTGCAAAATAGCCTCAATTGACGTAATAAAGTAATTACAATTTGAAATTTTTCCATCTCAATAGCCTTAGTCATTCCTTCCAGTGATGTCTGTACCTAATTTCTTCGACTCCTTAATGTAGCGTGAAGGGAGTACACCCAAAAAATAATGGTGTTAATTTTGAAAACTCGTCATCATTGAAATGTACCAAAATGTCCACGAACGATTATTCATTCAAGCTATTCTAATTATGGAACCATCATTCATTCTATTGCTATCGGTTGAGTTGGATCTACATGTTCAAATTTTCATCCGCCCAAATCTATTACGAACTTATGAGTTGGTCCAATTTTCAAATTCGCAAAGAAATTGTCTACATTAACTTCAAAATCTAACAAAATGCAAGAAAGAAATAAAAAACGGTTCAGCACGGTTTTAAGACACAATAAATATGAAGTCTGGTTACCTATTATCGAGTTCCCTTTATTCGACATGAAACACTTCGACGTATAAGAAACATTGCCCTAATTCAATCTCTATCTGACAAAATTGGTTAATCTTTCTTGTTTTCTGATAGTGCAAATAACAGTGTCATTTCAATTGTAATTTTGGTGCAAAATAAATGACGCAAAGGGTTTTCTTCATGATATATAATAATACACTCTGTACTCGAAGAGGAACCGTAAAATATATGACTGGTCAGGTAGATAGTCTTTTTTACGTAGTAAAAGATTAACACAATTATGTTGATCAGAAATATAGTTAAATTTTGGTGATTTTTGATATTTCGCCAAATTAGATCAGTGTAATATCAAAAAATACTTCACTATTAATAATTATTTAACCAATCAGTTGAAATGGTAATTTCGGAAAAGTGGAAATATCGGTCAAGCAGTAATCTCGTAAAAGTGAAAATGCCGGGAATATGGTAATGTCTGGAAAATGTATATGTCGAGGAAGTAATAACGTCGGTAGTAATAATGGTAATGTTGGGGAAGTAGTTTATGTCGGGATTATGGTTGTCGGAAATATATTGTTGGGGAAGCAGTTTATATCGGAAAAATGGTTGTCGAAAAAAACGTTGTCGGGAAATTATTGTCGGGAAAGTTATGTCGGTGGAAAAATTTATATCGGGAAAGTATCGTCTGGAAATATTTTTCGGTGAGTTGTTGTCGGTGAAATGTTGAGAAACCCTCACGCTCTTTGACCGGCCTGCAGGCTCATGTCCATTTTAGAATATTCAAAAAAAATCAAAAAAACAAATACATATATAAATTATAAAGTTTGTACATATCTATATGTTCTATCCGCCGACTTATTAGGAACTAATGAAGCCTGACGAATAAGCATAAAATCAAAAGGCAACTCTATTCAAATTTTTGTAAAATAATTCAATTAGTATAAGGATTAGAAAATCAAGCAAAACGTAGAAAATACAATGATAAAGATATATACTTTCCATTTCTAACGCACAATTAACGAATTTTATAATTCTTAATTTAAAGAAGGGGGTAAATAGAATATAATAAAAATTTCAAGAACATCACAAAAGAACACGCAAAGTGAGGCTAATAAAAATGTCTTTAAATCTGGGATTGTTGCTTCAAAGTCTAGAAAAATGCCCAACTGCAAAAAGGAACCCAAAAAAATGGTATTAATGAAGGTTGAAATTTAAAGATATAGTTCAATATATTTCAGTCAACAGACTCGTAGAAGCTGTTCGAACCTTCAACCTAAATGAAAAAAGAACATTATAAAACATAAAAACAGGTCCACAGATATCTAAAGAAATAAAGAATTAATTTGTAAAATATCACCCTCATTTTGATGTAACGTTACACGATCAGGAAGATCAAAACAAACCCATATGGGCTGATCGGACTCATTTGGTGTGATATAAAAATGTGATATCTGCGTGGTTACACTAATCCGATGATCATACGTAATGTCTGTCTTTTGTGCTCTAAAACCTATTTGACAAAAAATTCTTTACTATCTCACGAAGTAAAAAAGCACCACACAACCGTATTGTGCCCCACAGTTCTTGTTTTGAACTTCCTTCAAGTTGGTGCCTGTGTCAATTCTGCTCAATCTTTCTTGCAAATGTAAAATCTCATTTTCATACTCACCGCTCAGCTCAAGGCTTCAAACAATTCACTGTGCACTGTCCTGAAAACCTTTTTTATTACATGTTTCACCAAGAGCCAGAATTTGAATACCAGGTGGTCCATTGAAAGTATAAATGCGCATATAAAGGACAAGACAGATACCAAAGAATTAGATATATTTTTGCACATTCTGCTTGAAATAAAAATAAAACAAAGACAGGAAGTAAGGTTAGAGTAATAATTGAAAAAAAAGAGTTTGAAACACAACAAATAATTGAAACTAAGTTTGTCTTTCTTTAGAAAGAGCAAACAACTAAGAAAGAATATAGTAGAGAGATTTATACTTGAATATATAGGTTTTTAAAGTTTATATTTGAAATACATAAGCATAATGTAGTTGTAATTTAGATTTTATTATTATTTTTATTTAAGATTCATAATCTTTTTAGTATAAGACAGAGATGTTTCATTTATATAATAATAAAGTTATCTATTTTCATAAGAATACATTTTATAAGTTACAGTTTTTGAAAAATTGTTATTACCCATTATAGTATCTCTATAAAATAATTGAATATGATTATGGTACTTTTTTTCTACACCTAAATATGAAAATCATCATAGATATAAATTTTTTGTTTTAAGAAATTTCATGAATTTTAGAATATAACATTTAAGTATATGTATATAGAGAATAACATCATCAAGTTAATAGAGTCTTTCTTGTAGAAGTTTTTCTTCTTTGTTTTTGATTGTTGGTTAGCAAATTTTTTTAATCTATTGGCATGCTAAAAATTCAAAATTAACAATATCTTCATCTGTTAAATCAATTTTACATATTATTTTATATAAAAAAAAAATTATACTAAAGTTTTGTATTTCATTTTCACACTAACTTAAAATAAATATAGGTATAGAAAATTTTTTTAAAATTATTAATTTGTCTGAACCCATTAATGATATCTAACACCATTTTCTTTTTGGTATTTCAGGTTTACTAAACTTAAAAATATTAATATTCAGAGAATGAATAATTAATTCTATTTGTTATTGAATTATTATTTTATTTTTTTTGATTTTTTATTAAATATCAATTTAATTGATAATTTAAAAAAAAGACATTCAAATAAAATATTAGTAATATGAAGCATTATATCTAATTCATCTGGTATAAAATATTGTTGTTCTAAAAAAAATAAAAGATTTGAATTTTTTCATCTCTGAATATTATATAAATTTTTATAATCTTTGTTCATATTTTAATGATCAGTACTTTTGCTATCATAATATAAATAAAAATTATTTACTATTGGTCCTTTGGTATTAAGAATTAAAGATATAAATTTCTAATTAGAGTTAAACCAAAATTCAATTTTCTAATGATTATTTTCTGAATCAATAATTTTTTTAAATTTAAAGTTATTAATTTATTGATTAAAAAACTAAAAACTATTTGAACAGATTCATATTATTCTATACTATTATAAAGAAAAATACAATATTGATTAAATGAATTTAAAACTATATCATGCTTATTTAATATACATATAGTTAGTATTACATGATTATGATATTTGTTAACTTGTGCCCATCTTCACTTAATTTATATAAATAATGTCTTCTAATTGTAAAACTGATGATTTTCTATATACTAATTTAGGAATTAAAATAAACAAAATATCTTTGAGTAGTATATAAGTTCTATTTAAAGTTATAAAATTAATTTGAATCAAATGAATTGGAATTTTATTATCTATAATTTTTGTTATTTCTTGTTGACAAGTTTCAACTTTATATTCATACATTATATAAGGCATAGTAGGCATAAGCAGACAATATATATTATGAGAAATTAATAACTTATTACAAATACAAATAATTAAATCTAACAATTAATTTGGGGGTATGGCGATTTAGTGAAGTGAATAAGTTGTCAACCCTCCAAGTGGTAGGTTGTGAGTTCAAAACCCACCAACGGCGAAAATTTGAATAATCACCTATGTAATACATAGATGGTATTACGGTGATGGCATTCTGTCAATCAGTTGGAATAGGATACCTGTAACTATGGTCGCACTAGCATGACTGGCAGGTCACAGGGCATTTGTGTAACCTTGGTTACACAGAGGAATGCAAACCAGTACCGGGCAGTGCAAATCTAAAATAAGTCCCTATAGCCATGTAAATCCGTAGAACTGGGAAACCAGAGCCCACTTGGAAAGACCTGAGTAGAGAGGTAACACAAATCTTCGACGGTACTACTGTAAAGGCTAGACCAAGAAAATGGATACCAATGTAGAGGAGCCAGATGGGCAAGAACCTCAGGTAAGGGGTACCGCCAACCAGGCCACCGGAACTAAACCGGAGGAAAAGAATATCAGGCTGGCTTGATATACCA